TGAAACCAGAAAGCCTAGCATCAGGGAGAGGGATTACCTGAAGGCCCCTGGCGGCAGCAGCAGGGACGGGCCTGGGGTGCGCAGCAGCAGCAGCGGCGGGCACAGGGCGCACAGCAGCGGCGGGCACAGGGCGGTGGGCAGCAGCGGGCACAGGGCGCACAGCAGCGACAGGCACAGGGCGGCGCACAGCAGCGGCGGGCACAGGGCGGCGAGCAGCAGCAGCGGACACAGGGCGCACAGCAGCAGCGGCGGGCATACGGTGGCGGGCAGCGCCGGCGGCAGCAGCAGGCCTAGGGGGTAACACGGGGTCACTAAAAACAAAAGAAGAAGGCAGCACAGAAAAGCTGAACTGAGGAGTAGGAGAAGGCATCGTGGAAGTAGGAGTTTGTAATGTTTGTGTGTGTATGTGCGTGTGTGTGTTTATGTGTGAGGACGTAGAGCGAGAGGCGAGTTCCTGTGCAGGACGTCTGGACGCCTGATGGATCACCGGGCCAAGGACCGCACGGATCTGTGGAGAGAAACAGAATGTGTTAAATACCAGTGCTACCAGAGCTCACAGCTTAAGAGTCCAGCAAAACCAGAGTTGAGAACATAAAGAGTTCAATTAACACTCGGCATGAGGCCATATTCAAATTTGGTGTTGCAATTATTAAGGTGAAAATAAATGTAATTAACGATTATATCACAGTAATTATTCAAGTTACTGACCGTTAATTAATAAATATTTAAATGATATTTAAACAACCCATTCTGGTGTTAGAATGGCATTTATCTCTATTAGCGATTATCACAATTATAGAAATGTCCCATGAACAATTATTGTCTGCAGTTTTTTATCACGATAAATGATATCATGGTTTATTGGCCCATCCCTAATTAATACATTAACACATTACAAGAGGGGTGTAGCAACCAATAATGTAACAAGGGCTAAAAAACTCAAACTAAAGATTGGTTTCTATTTTAGACACAAACATTGCTTTTCTTTCAGTGCTAAGAAAAAAACAGTGCAAGCAACTTTTCTGTCTATTCTGGACTATGGTGATACTTTATGCATGTTTGGTCATTCACTCTGCACAACCTGCACTCTGTGCATCATGGATCACCGAGGGTTATCACCAATGACAAGTCTCTCACTCATCACTGCTCTCTTTATGGTTTAGTTGGCTCGACAATTTGCAGAAAACAGCATTGGTTAATAATTCTTTACAAAGCCATATGGGGAAACTTAGTAATGTTCTTAATATCAGGTCAGATAGTTATGGGCTCCGCTTTTCCCCAAGGTTACTTTTCACCTTACTTTTTTGGTATATTTCATATATAATAACTATATTCTTATAATGTATTAATAGTAGTAGACTATATTGTTATTAAAGTTAGGTAAATGTGACTTTAAACTCCTTTTTGTTTGGTGCATCTTTAATTTAGCTCAAAATATGCTTTCATTTGACATGTGGAAATTGTCATGTAAGTTATACCATTTATATTGTCAACCTGTGAAACCTAACAATGCTAAAAAGCACAAGGAAATTCTATTGAAAATTCAAGACTTGTCAGTATACTTAGTAGGATTTGGGATCGAAATTCTGGGTATGAGCTAATTTTAATGGAACATTACAGTGGACTGTATGGTGATGGTGATGTGTAATCTCATTTTGTCACAGTCCAAGAAAATCAGGTGTATCTTTAAAAACAGAATTTTAGCCTAAACCATTTGGGAAAAGGCCTGCATGCTTAACTACAATGTTCCAATAAAAGCAGCAGAAGTCCTCTTCTAGTACCTCAATACATGTTTTATTTGCTAAGGTTACTTTTCTACATGTATCGTCTCACTATAATCACCCTATTATTAGACTCTAGCTGGAGTCAATGATCAGTTAAGTGACCGCTAGAATCTAACTCATTCTAAGTGGAGTCACGGGGAAAAAACATGACACCTACAGCAGATATTTAGGAGATTAGAAGCACAAGAGCTCACATTTCTTGGAATAAAGATAAAATAAACATGACCTAGACACTGATAAAGGGGCATTTGCTTGACTAATGATTGCTTTTTGAGTAACATGATGAAAACCCATAAGGACTATGAATCAGGAACGTGACAAACCTCACGTGTTCTTCACAAATGTCTCGTAGTCCGATGCAGAAGGTGGTCAGTCAAAGTCTGGGTGAAATTTTGTCAGACTTGTGCCTCTTTTATCCAGAAATCATCGATTGAAGGTCTCAGATACAAGTTTATGATCTCAGCCAAGTTTTGCAAAGTTTGCAGAGAGCGCGCATCACTCAAAAGATGCACTTGACAACAAAAGCGCTGTGCGTGCGCGCCGCCGGCAGAATGTGCTTACGTTAGTACGTGCTTCATCTTCTAGACCAGGGCTACTCAATTACAAACTCAAAAGGCCCACTTACCAAATGTACAGTGTTTCCAGGGTCTGAAAAAGTCTCGGTGTATTTCCAAACTTAAAACTTCGAACAAAAATGTAGTAAATCCACATGGAACATTTGAACTATAAATACACGAGCTAGATGGCTAGGTATAGCTAAGCTCCGTCTAGCTAAGCTAAGGGCGCTCTGCTCCCATTCCTCCTGTACCGCTGTCACTGCGCATGCGTCCTGTAGAGCCGCTCTTCTGTCTGGATCATGTCAGTCGATCGCATCAATACTTCTGTACCACAGACAGTGTTTGGAAGGTTACTTTTAAAATGTAATCCCCTACAGATTACAGATTACACACCCCAAAATGTAGTTTGTTACGTAATCCATTAAATCACTTAAAGTGAGTAACGTAATCTGATTACTTTGGATTACTTGATATTGTCATGTTTTTTAAACGACATGAATGTAGCAACCACATCCTGAAAATTCTTGTTTGTTGTCTTCAAATGTCTGAGCCCAAGTCTCCATGAATAAGCAACTGTTTGCTGTAGAGAAACAAAGACCACGACATCTTAATATAAGAGGTTTTGTCTGTTAAAAGACAGTAACAAGATCAGTCTTTCCTTCACCATATTAAAAAATATTATTGATAGAGAAGTTATTTTTTATATGAGATCACCTTAAATTATGTCAACCTACTGTTAGGTGTCATGTTGTTTAGACCTGGTTTAGTCCTGATTTTTAGACCTGGTTTACTCCTGATTTTAGACCTGGTTTAGACCAGGTCTAGACCAGGTCTTTAGTTCTGGAACACGGAGGGAATGAAATATGCAGCACTTTTTGGGCAATAAATCCAAACAGTGATAACTCTTGGTTCTCACTTCCATATCCTTAACAAACTGGTTTGAATATTTGCTTCATATAGTTTTCTACCATATGGTACAAGATTAGGTTGAAAAACCTCTTACTTTTTGACTCATGAGATTTTTTATTAAGAAAGGTCATGGTAACGGAGAGAAAAGTAACGGAGGGAAAATTGTGCAAACAAGTAGAAGGTGCAGGATTTTACATCATTTGTCAGTTTTTTCTTCCAAATACTTTAATATTACTTCAAAATGAAAAGAAACTATTTCTATAAAATATGTCAGTCCTTCCAAGCTAATTTTTATCATTTTAAATATATTTTTTTGAAAAATCATGTCCCTTCATCAACAGTTCAAAGATGGAATAACACAAGATATGATGAAATACATCCATTTATTTACATGATTTTTGGGTCTTTGAAATTTGGGAAATAATTTTTGTTCCATGTTTCATACATGGTCTGTTTAAAACGTATGGAACTTTAGAACCAAAAATGGTACAGAAAAAAGGTCAACAGTTTCATAAACTAGAGTACATATGTATCTGTTCAATACATTTTTATATCAGATGCATTAACTTGAATTTTTGGCCTTGTTGTTTACTTCTGCTTGACCGGGGCCCCCAGTTTTTAATTTTGGCCTCTGTGAATTTGAGTTTGACTCTCCTGATGTACATCATTCATGCAGTATTATCCATTTTAATCTTGTTGTTATGTAATCATATGCAAATGTGATCATGTGAAAGCGCTTTGGAACCTCTGTTGTCATGGTAACGCAGTGGGAGTTCTTTGTGAGGTTCCGTGGAAAAGTGTGTAAAGGGTCACAGCACACTCCAGTCTCCAGTCAGAACCACAGGCCTGAAGATGAGTGAGCAGAGCGAGAGCAGTGTCCAGAGCGTCCAGAGCGTCCAGAGCGTCCAGAGCGTCCAGAGCGACGCTGTGCTCCTCGTACAACACCAAAGATTTCTCGTGCACAAACCGATCCTCATTGACTCCAGCCAGGTTTTTAGGTAAGTGACAGGAACAAAACGATGTGCGGTCAGGATTCACCAGAACAAAAGAGAATTTTAGAGCGTCTTTATAAACGGACACTTCCATCTGACGTTATGGACGGACGAATGAAATGTGCAGGAGCTGAGGCTCCAGAGACACAAGAGACACGAGACTTTCACTGCAAACGTCCAAACACACACGATCAGCCAGAACATCACGACCAGACGAGCCCTGTCCACTGTCCTGTGTCCTCTGACCTCGACCGTCACAGAGGACAAGTCTAAAACCTCTGACCTCGACCGTCACAGAGGACAAGTCTAAAACCTCTGACCTCGACCGTCACAGAGGACAAGTCTAAAACCTCTGACCTCGACCGTCACAGAGGACAAGTCTAAAACCTCTGACCTCGACCGTCACAGAGGACAAGTCTAAAACCTCTGAGCACAGACTCTGTCCACACGTCTCACCTGTCATGTCTCTTCACAACTCACTTCTGCCAAAACACTTTTAGGAAACCTGTCCTCAAACATCTGTCCTCAAATACATGACCCTCAAACACTTCTTTTTAAAAATGGTTCTCAAACATCTGTCTACAAATACTTGTTCTCAAATGTATTATTTTTTAAATTCACATAAATCCAGGAGAAACAACTGAAGTGTTGTGAATCAAATCTCAAAGATCCAAAGTCACATCTGGAGACATTTTTGCTCAGCTCTTGCTTCTTCTGCTCCGACATCTGACTGAAGTGTGTTTTTGTTTTTTAGAGCCATGTTTGAACGCTGGGACCATCACAACGATAAAGTCTTCACAGTCGGTGGAATCTCTCCTGAGACCATGTCCCTGGTGCTCGAGTGGATCTACACCAAATCCATTGTCCTGTGCGCGGAGACAGTCCAGGACCTTCTGTTGGCTGCTGACATGCTGCTGCTGGACCAGCTCGTCCTGCTCTGCTTCCAGTTCATGGAGGAGAACATGAGCCCGGAAAACTGCATCGGCATCTGGAAGTTCTCGGATGTCGTGCTGTCCAGCAAAACTCGGGATTTGGCCCGGAGGTTCATCCTGAGGAACTTTGAGGAGGTGATGGACTGTGAGGAGTATCAGGATCTCACTGGAGAAGAGCTGAGTGGGTTTATAGAAAGTGACCAACTCCACGTCAAAGACGAGACGGTGGTTTTTAAGGCTATTGTGCACTGGACCAACCACAATGTCCAGGAACGCAGAGAGCATTTTCCACAACTGCTGTCAAAGGTGAGTTACCAGTCGTGTATTTTACTTCTGTGGGGTTTTCACTGTTCACACATCACATATTTACATCACCACGTCAACTTTTATTGTTTTAAAAAGGCTATAATCGCCCAAAACAACATATCCACATGTTTTATAACCTTCACTTTTGTTTTTGACGCTCTGAGTGTGGCCCCAGAGAGATCGCTAAATGACTGAAACATGCGTGGATGACTCTAAAACTTCTTCAGGCTGGTTTTCGATGAGGGAATAAAGTTATAACATGGTAGAAATCTCCAAAAGTAGATTTTACATCATCCTCCTTCTTTAAACTTTTCACACCAAGATAATATTTGTGTTTCTGAGTCCCACCAGTTTTAAACAAAGATTATACGAGGATTATAGATCAAAAATGAGACTAAACCACAGGAGTTACAAATATTTAGCACCGTATTTGATTTTCACAGTTTTCCAGACGTGAAAAACAGAACTAGTTTGCAGTGAGTCAAAGTTATTCTTACTTACCTTTCGCATTCTGAGCCCAAATTATTCACCACGAGTTTTTAAACACTTTTCACAACTCTCACATCCCAGAGAGTTTCATAAATACACAAAAGCGGGACACAAAACAACACACTACGACTTCACAAACCTGATGTGATGTGCAGTAGTTTCATTAGTAGGATGAACCCTGATTGTGTTGTGATAAAAGGCGACATGGAGATCTAAATATGTTCTGTGTTAAAAGTTAATCCCCCATAGAATCAAACAGCCGCTTTAATCTCAAATGAAAGTACAAACTCTACTGTACTGTGTCCTAAACGTTGCTCTTTTGTCTCTTTCAGGTTCGTTTCGCTGAGATTTCGTGCAACTTCATACATGACAACATTCTCAATAACCCCCTGGTGAACAACATCTCCTGTTTATCCATAATGACAAACGCCTTGGACACCATCTCTGAACTTCTCATCAACCCCGGCGCCCTGCACCGCCTGCACCGCCCCCGACTCCCTGAAGTCGTCCTCTTGGCCGTCGGAGGCTTGAGCAGCGGCAATTTCACCAATCAAATCGAAGCGTACGACTACAAGGTCAATCGCTGGGTTCACATCATGAACTCCGAGAGGCCCAGAGCGTACCACGGCTGTGTGTTCCTCGACGGCTCGCTCTATTGTGTCGGAGGATATGACGGACTGGAGCATTTTAAACAGCGGGCGGCGTCTGGACCTGGCGACCAACACCTGGCACGAGATGCCCCCCATGAACCACAGACGCTGCTTCGTGAGCGTGGCGGTGCTGAACGGCCTCATTTATGCCATGGGCGGCTTCGACGGGAACACGAGGCTCAACACGGCCGAAGTGTTTGACCCCCAGACCCGCTGCTGGTCCCTGATCACCCCCATGAACGAGCAGAGGAGCAGCGCCAAATGTGCCGC